CTATGGAGTGTTGTGTCATTGTCATGTGTCCGTTTACACCAGCCTGCATCTGATCCAATCAGAGCTGCTAAAATCAGATGGATGGGGTCTGTTCACCATCCGGCTAGTGCAGGGTGTGACTAGCCAATCTAAAACCGCGCTGTCACGTGCGTAACAATGCCATGCCCAGCTGCACCCTGCACAAAGATTTTCTAGCTAAAGGACCACAACTGAGTGCCGGCAGACTGGGAGCGATTGTTACTGGGTCAGGTTAATTACGCAATTAACCCTTCACACTGCCACCACCGCCTTTTTGTACAGAGAAAGAGGAAACTCAGCAATATCAGCAATAACACTATGATGGTTGAATAATCATCTGTATACCACTGTCACCGCAGGCAGGTTATACAGAGGTTTAAACACACACAGTAGCGCTCTTCAGAGACAGGGGTTCTTAGTTTGAATTAAAGAGCTTTAGAAACAGTTCAACACTTTCAGAAAGTAAGATTTATTACTAAAAGGTCAAAAGGGTGCAATAAAAATATTTACAGAAATAGATGTAGCCAATATATATACAGTATATATAAATATACAGAGAGCAATAACACAGCAAGAAATAACAGAAAGGAATTTAGTTAGATAAAAGTCTTGGTTTAAGCAGATTTCAAGTTTCCTGAGCCAAAAGGGTGCCTCATCTCCCAAAGTTGATTCCGATGTTACAAGGGAGAATCTTCAACTTAGCTCAACTCAGCTTAGCTTAACTCAAAGCATAACAGCCTTTTTCTAGGAACTCAGCAGGGTGTCTCCTTAAAGCAGAGAACCAATTGCCTCATTTGGAAAGGGGTGTTGTAGGCGGGGAGCTCAGGCTATGATCAAATCCCTCCCAAATTATACTATGGTCAATAACGTTTCCTAGGTACATGTAACATTCTATCCACAGGTAGATTAATACGCATAATCATCTGCTGAACGTCTAGATATGAAATATGACATACCTGCTGGGACGGTTAAGGAGATATCATTTTCTGCTCTCCTGTAGCTGTCAGCTAGAGGGTGTAATATATCAGACGACTTGTATTAAAGTGACCGATCTGAATATATGCCTGGTTTTTATGTAAGTCTCTCATATTCCAAGATATGTAATCATAGGGGAAAGTGGATTTTTAAATGTAAGTCTGTTTCACAGCTAGCTGGAACGTCTTTGAAGCTCAGTGAGGACTTGGTTTATGGCTTTACGATCCTTTTCCAGCAAGAGTCTTGCAGACATATGGGGGCCAGGATAATTGGGGTTTATAGCCATGAGCTCTCCCGCTGGGACTTGATGCCTTTTTGAACTCAGCATCCAGGAACCACATGTCACTCAACAGAGAGGGAGGGGGGATGAGGGAAGCTGATTTGGGAGTAGAAAATGATAGAAGATGGAGGCTTTGCCAAAACGGAGGTTCGCATCCATCTTTGTGTGCATGATTGCTACACAGGGGTCTCCAAACTTTCTAAACAAAGGGCCAGTTTACTGTCCCTCAGACTTTATGAGGGCTGGACTGCAGCCAGTGGGAGCAGAAAATGTCCTGACTTCAGTGGGAAAGAAATAATGCCCCATTGTTTTAGTGTCAGTGGGGGAAATTCCGTCCCATCAATGATGTAATTGGACCCTATCATTTGTGTCACTGGGAGGAATTGTGCCCCATCGTTGATGTCATTGGAAGGAGTTGTGCCCCCTTCATTGGTGTACATGGGGGGAATTACACTGAATTGTTGGTATCAGTATATGAAATAGTGCCCCAAGGGCCAGATAAAAGCAAGCAAAGGGCTGCATCTGGCCCTCGGGCTGCAGTTTGAAGACCACTGGTCTAACAGATCAGATTGAATGACATTTGGATGTGGAGCAGACACGGACCTGTCATCCACCTGCTCAGCAGGGATCAGCATACAGATCCTCCCGCTGAGCAAGTGGATCCATTGGCGACTTGTCCACCAGTCATTTTTCCTCACTTGTTATCCTCTTGGGCACTGATCCCCTCACCACCCTTCTGAGTTTTTCTGCCTCTCCACCTATCAGAAAGGTCCTGGCCACTGGAAATATTGTCTTCTCCAGTAGAAGGTGTGTACATCAAGCAGGCAGTGATGTGGACAAATCAAGAAGGACCCTAGGAAGTAAATGGAAGAAGAGAGAAGAATCGTTTCAGGCTTCAGGTAAATAAAATGTCATGTAGATATATTTTCTCATTAGTTAGAGGGGGGTAGGGGGAATGTTGCTAATATCCTGGAGTTGGGACCCATATACAAGAATTCAAAGCACTGCAAAACTTCCCACTATAGTCCAAAGCACAGTTTGGGTACCAACAGTGAAACAAGCTCATCCAGGCTAGCTTAAATAGATTGGAAGAGAGAAGGTGGAAACACCACACACCAGAACCCAGCCACTATATAGAGAGGTATAAAAATACCTGAAGATCCTGGAGTTAGGCTTCAAGGAGGTAGCATGGCAGGTGGTGAAAGTTTAAAGCAGCACTTCATTGCACAATACACAGAAATGTGTTCAGCTTCATGTGCACCAAAAAACTGGTGAACAATGCTTTTGAATGGCTGGTAACTAAAAGTTGGCTTTACATATTCAAGCTATAGCAAGAGTGCTATTCCCCCCAAAAAGCTCAGTAAAACCCATATTGCTCTATAATACCACACACATCACAATTTATAACAACTGAACTCCAGGCAGATATTAAAAAACACCAGTGAAACTGTAGCTATGTATACTTTTAAGCCTAAGTCAAGGTTTCTTGACACTGTGTCCTCATCCTTCTGTGTTCTAACAGCAGGATGAGGACTTTCCATCCCACTCCCTGAACAAAATCGAGTTGGGTTGAACGCTGCGTAGCCATTCACTGGAAGCCTTGCATTTCATCAATGAAAATGTCTTCCTCTGACTGAGGTGGAGATCATGATGTCATCCTCCTACCTCTCCACCTCAGCTTGTGAATGGCTGAACAGTGCTCAACCCAACTCAATTTTGTTCTTCATCATACTGCTGCTGGAACACAACACTGTAAGTACTGTAGATCAGGGGTGGGCAACTGTGGCCCTCCAGCTGTTGGTGAACTACAATCCCATCATGCCTCTGCCTTTGGGAGTCATGCTTGTAACTGTCAGTTTTGCAATTCCTCATGGGACTTGCAGTTCTACAACAGCTGGAGAGCCACAGTTGCCCACCCCTGCTGTAGATGATACTACATATAGTTTATACAGCACACCCAGTGGGTGCATGTTAGTGAAGGAAATACTGGTAGTTCATTTGGACCAGCTTGGTGTGCAAACAAACTATTTAAAGTCCCAAGAAACCTAGTGTTAGGCTTTAAACAGTATGGAAATGTGTTTTAACTTGCCCTTATTCTTAGCACTTTTTCTCTCCTACCTATTGTACTACTGTGCTGTTACCTTCTGAAATGGACTTCCGAGTGAGTCTGCAAGTGGCTGTTTCAACACATATTAGGCAGGGATGGTCCACTGTTGTCCAGAGTAAACCTATACTGGGAAATGCCATGCAGAGTTCGTTGTAGTGCATACATGTAGTCACAAAGTGGCAGCAAAAAAATTGGAGTAGATCAGTAGCAGAAAGATGCCACAAAAATGGAAAATGTATTAAGAAAAAATACAATTTAATATAATACACAGTGTTTCAGGAACTTACCATTTAGGGTTTATGTCTACTTTAACTAAGGCAAAGAAAAATGAGCTCACCAGCCTGTCTGTGTTACGTTGCAGGCAGTTTAAGTCTAATGGTTGGATAAACAAAAATACAAATTATTTGACAAATAGAACAGCTCCTTTAGTGTAATTACTGTAGTTATTTTCTATTGTAAACCAGTGCTTAAGTTAAAGAGACAAAAAGTGTTTTTTAAAAACTTCATACAACATGGTTCATTTTATTGTTCCCAGGCCAACGAGTAGAGGCAAAGGAGATGTGTCTTTGCCTGTGTAATTTCCTGCAGGTCTGCACACTTAGACATACAATTAAATGAGTCACGTTTACAGAGCATAATATTTTGACTTACTAGGTTAATGTGTTTGACGGCATCATCATCAGCTATTATAAAACTATATATTTGTCATTTCTCAATTATTTCCTAAACATGTTCAAAGAGAATGTAGAAATTTCATGAATATTTACTTCTAGATACGACGAACGAGAAGTGTATTTTATATGGTAGATACTTTGTAGCCTTAGGATTTTTCATTTTTCCATGAAAAATCATCAATAACATTTCGCTTTCAAGGCTTTACTAGAATACTACAATAAATATTGGCTTTCTTCCTCTGCCTGGCCACTTTTTTCAAGACTAGGCAGCATTGCTGTGCTTCTCCTCCTAACGCTGCTGTCACATCTCCTGTCAGATTATAGAGTTCAATGCAAGCTTATCATTGGGCAACATGCACCTGGGGCCCCTGGGCAGTGCCCAGGGGGGCCTGTACATTAAGACAACCCTGGTCCTCCTCCCTGCCTGCACAGTGCCTGACTCCCTTGTTTGCAACAACACTGCAAGCTCTGCTAGTGGAGTGGAACACATGTAGGGTCAGTGTCATTGGGAAGCATTGCTAGGCAATGCCTCCTAAAATGCAGAAAGGTGCTCCCCTGTTTGGATAGTAGTTTCCTCTGTTGCAACCAAAACTCACAGGTCTCCTTTTCTGTCTAGCCTGGAGCAGAGGTTGATCTTTTGTCCCTCTACTCCCATTCATCACCTCTCCATTGGCTCCCACTACCACCCACAAAGTAGCTGGCCTAGGGGAAAAACAGCCTAAATCTGGCCCCGAAAATAGATGTTACCTTTAGTCAACAGATGTAGTTGATCAATGCAGGTTTAAATGTGAACATTGTAATCTTTAAGTGTTACTAAACCCACAACAGTAAAATCAGTCTGTATATGCAGTAAAGCATGCTTGTTATACTCACTGTGGAACCTAAGGGGATAATTCTTTGTTTTGTGTAAAAATGCTGTTTGATCCCGACTGCTATGATCCTCCACCTTCTTCCAGTGTCCCCCTTTTATCTACTGATAAGACAAATCGTGTGGAGTCACTCTGGACATGCTCAATTTGGTGTGTATTGCTAGAGAGGGTTTCTTTTTTCTTGGGAGAGTGCATGTGATCAGCACAGGGCCAATCAGCACTGTCTAGACAGAGGTCAGGGGTTCTGCATCCTTCTAGAGCAGAATGAAAACTCCTCCTACAAGCTTTAACCAGTTCTCAGCTGAACATTGATAGAAGTCACAAGACTGCTGTAACTGCTGATGAGAAAAGGTATTTAGCAGTTTATATTTACTAAAATAATTGCACTTCTATGTTCTGTGTACTATGGAGAGACAAGATATAGTAAATGCAGGATCTTGATTTTAGTAACACTTTAACGGTGGTAATGTTTCATTGTTTTATTTACTCCAGGTTTGAATTGACAGAGCAAGAAGGGCAAATGGGGTTACCTTACAGAAGATGTAGGGTATGTTTGTGAACAACACTTGGACTTTATATTTATATTTAAAGGAGTTTGATCCTTTGGAATTGTTTACTGGCCGTGCAACAGTCACCAAATCACAAAGAAGGCTGTAGAAGAAATTTGTAGTACAGCTAAGACAGAGCCGAAGAATTTATCTGATCCAAGTATTAATAGGCTGAATTGGTGGACTTGAATTCTCTCCTTGGTTCTATATTTCAGAGAATGCTGGTATTTATTTTCCCTGTTGTGACATAATTTATATGTTGAGACTAGAGTATAAAGCTATAAAGCTCCCAGAAAACTATTTGTTCTTCCAATTCATGTCTGAAAAACATTTATTAACATCCTATTTCTAAAAAAGAAATGCATAGCCATTCAACAAGAGAATATGCATGTACTGTATGAATTCTGTGACAGTTAAGGAAAATTACCTGTTGTTCTTTTTTGGGCAATTTCTTTTATTTTTTAAACTTTTTTTTAATTTATAAAACATGTTTTATTTCTTCATTCAGAAGAGAAAATAGCCTGATATTTGTTTTTACATAATTCGCACAGAACAAATGTACATACTGATTCCCTGCATTAAAGTGGTAGTAAAGCATATCTTGTTTACTTGTACCTACAGGTTAGCCTAAGGCTTAGCTGTAGGTACAGTAAATATCTCCTAAATGGTGCACATTTAGGCTCCATGTACACTGCAGCTGTTAAACTCACGTTTAGAAGCTTTTCTGCATTTTTTTCAGCAGCCCCTGAACTCTCCCTAATGGTTTCCTATGTGTCCATGTACAGTATGTCGTTTACAGTCATTTACAGGCAGTTGAGGTTACAGTAATTTTTTTTTAATGCACCAAACTTGCTTTCAGGAGTAGATTTTATCAGTGTTTCAAATGCCAAACGCATACAAATGCGGCTAACCGCATTTGCATTTGGAATTTTTTTTTTAACTTTTCCATTTCCAGATGCTGTCCAGAGCCTTTTTTCATCATGAAAAATGCATGCAAAGCAGTTTCCCGGTACTCAAATGGACCTGGTACACCATACTTTGAGTTTTCGCATGAAAGAAAATACTTTAGACACTGCTGCAATAATTTCTGCACAGAAATTAGCTGGAACACATCCAAACACCACAAAAAAAAAGACAGCTAATCTCAACAAATACTGCTCTCTCTGCTTTTGCTCTCTCTTTTTCTCTCCAAATGTCTGAAATAGTTAATTTTTTACTTTTTTTAGTGCATTCTGGGCATTCTGGAAGGTTTCCTGAGGTTATCTTTGAAAAACTATTCTAAACGCAAATGCTCATAAACATGCATAAACGCAGTATGCAAAAGCAGCTAAACCTAGGTTTTCCAGCAGTCAGTTTCCATCGTTCAAAAGTGTCCCGTGTACAAGGAGCCTTAGGAGAATTTACTATAGTAGCAGCCATTGATATCACTGGTGCATGCACACTGTGCGCTCAATGGACGGTATGCCTGTGCCCTGGCCGTGACTCCCACATGTGATGTCATTGCGACTCGCCCAGTCAAACAGCCAAAGCCCACGAAAGGAAGACCTGGTGAAGATGAAAGTCCTGTCAGCGGTGTCAGCATGCCACTGGAGGGCTTCGTTCTAAGGTAAGTCTTTCACAATGTGCTAGTATGCAATGCACACTGGCACAATATGCTATTATTTTGCAAGGGACATTTTTTGGGAACTCTTTTTGGTGGCTTACTACCGTTTAAAGGCTATTACCCCATAGACTGAAGGCAAAGGTTATTATTTGAAATCAGTCAGTTTTCTCATCTAAACTAAAATAAAGCATAGACTGCCTTAAATTGATACCAAATCTTATTTTTTTATTATAATATAAAATAAGTTTCTACTTACCTGCTCTATTCAGCAGTCCCCTGCCTCTTCTTTAGCAGTCCTCCACCGGCGCTATCCTATACTTTTCCCTGAGAGTGCCCCCATAGCAAGCATTGTGCTATGAAGTTGTGCCAGGCTGTATACATCTATAGACACACACAGCCTGATTCAGCCATGCCCTCCACTCCTGCCTCATAGGATATGACTGACAGCAGCAGAAACCAATGGCTCCTTCTACTGCCTGAGTGAAAGTGAAGGGAGAAGGCCTGCAGCCGAGCACAGTACTGGATCGATCAGAGGAGACAATGCACAATACCACAATACATAATGTGTGTCAATGTAAGTGCTTTAAATTTGGTGCTCTGTTTTAGTCCTAGAACCTGGACAGAAGAAAGTTTAGAATGTACTGCTGGGGAACAAAGCATGGGTATGCTTTAAATTTTACTATAAAATAAATCCCTACAAAAGTGAAAAAATGCATTTCTAAATGAGGCAATAAAAGCTATGAATTTAGAACTCTTACATGCAAATCGTACAAGATTTGAAATACATATAACCAAAAACATATATAAACTACCTCATGGCTAAATACATCCACAGCAGGTTCGTGACAAAATACTGTACGTAGTTGACCTTGAAGTAGTCATGCTGTATCGCTTACAAATGTACAAACTCACAAGATTCTAATACCACCAGCAATGTAGGTGAAAGGCAATGGGAGAAGCAGAATTGAGTTATATCAGTCTTTGCATATGTAACTATAATTCAATTTGAAGTACACCGTGGCCAAATTGTAGAATGCAGTCAAATAGCGTTGTTATGTAAAAGGCAATGAGTGCTCTTCTATCATGCTACTAATTTTTTCAGGGCCTATTCTAACTGCAGATAAACACTCCAAAAAAGAATTTAAAACAACAAATACCTGAGACAAACATCAACTTAAAGTGATTTTTTAAAATACATAACATGTCATACTTACCTGCTCTGTGCAATGGTCAGAGCAGCCTTGATCCTCCCCATCTATGGTCCCCTGCGAGCACTCTGGGCTTCTCTTCTTCGTGTGCCACTTCCTGTGGTGGTACATATGCGGCTCGATGCCAATCCAAGCTGTGTGTGTCTATTGACACATTCAGCTAATGACTGACGAGCCGTCAAAAAAAAGGAAAACTCCACTGCCAAGATATGTCCCACTCAGTCCAGCAGATTTAGCTGGTATTTACAAAGGGGCAGGGTTTCCCAGTGACTTTGTTAACCATATATGGACATACCCATATATGGTCAATTATGTCACTGTGATCCTGCATCTTTGCTTACATGGTCAGGGATTCCAAGGCTAGAAATTCCCAACCATGTAATTGAATGGGGCCGATGACATCACTGGTTGTTGAGGACTCATCAGTGCCTGCACCTACTGGCACCCTTAACAACCTTGACAGCAGGATGCTGCCATGCATAATAATGGTAGTAATACTGTTACTTTTATTAATCTCAGCTTTCCCAAATTGGTACATTTTCAAGCATTCACCCAAATGCAAGAATACCCAAAGTTCAGTCTGAACTTGTGTTCAGACCAAACCTTGAGCTCATCCCTAGTCACGATGTGGGAAAGAAAAAGAATCTCAGAAAAACAGGAGCAAGAGGGGATTCTAAAGCATTTTAATGCTTTAGGCCAGCCTTTCTCAACCAAGGTGCCCAGGCAACCTGGGGTGCCTTGGAAAAAATATATAAAAATTGCCCAAAACCTGTATACAAGCCAGCGGGTGGAACAAGTCCGCCTTTTAGTTACACAAAGTCACAGGTTTTCATTGTGCACCATTACGACCTTCTAGCCGCCGGGATGCTGACAACCAATGACATCATCAGTTGATAAGGACAATGTTCAGCTGCCTGCACAGCATCCTAGTTCGACTCTCCCCTGCCCCCTCTCCATCAGTGCTGGGGTCACATTAGCTCAGTGATGGAGAAAGAGAAACACTAGAATACTAGTCAGTACCAGTGTGTCAATATGGTATTTAGCCAGTCTTTGAGAGATCATATACCAGCATAATAAAAATCTATAGTTAGCTTTGGTCTGGTATTTTTAGGGGTAGCCTTTCAATATTGTTTGAACATATATACCTCATACACTACATTGCCAAAACTATTGGGTGAGACATCCCTCCAAATCATTGGATTCAGGTATTCTACAAACATCTGTTTGGAGAGCTTCATGGAATGGGTTTCCATGGTTGAGCAGCTGCATCCAAGCCTTACATCAGCAAGTGCAATGCAAAGTGTCGGATGCTGTGGTGTAAAGCACGCTGCCCCTGGTCTCCCCAGCAGTGGAGACATGTTCTTCAGAATGGCGACTCACACTTCTGTCTCGCAATCCAATGGACATGCCAGGAGAACAGTACTTGCCTGACTGCATTGTACCAAGTGTAAAGTTTAGTGGAGGATTATGGTGTAGGGTTGTTTTTCAAGGGTTGGGCTTGGTCCCCTAGTTCCAGTGAAGGGAACTCTTAAGGCGTCAGCATAACAAGATATTTTGGACGATTTAATGCTCCCAAATTTGTGGGAACAGTTTGGGGATGGCCCCTTCCTGTTCCAACATGACTGCACACCAGTGCATAAAACAAAGTCCATAAATACATGGATGAGCCAGTTTTGGGTGGAGGAACTTGACTGGGTTGCACAGAGTCCTGACTATCAAAGGGAACACCTTTGGGATGACTTAGAGTGCAGATTGCGAGCCAGGCCTTCTCATCCAACATCAGTCAGGCCTTCTCATCCAACATCAGTGCCTGACCACACCAACGCGCTTCTGGAAGAATGGTCAAACATTCCCATAGACACACTCCTACACCTTGAGGACAGCCTTCCCAGAAGAGTTGAAAC